CCAACCTTTCACTGCCATTAATAAGAAGGATAGTTCTTGTCTAACAGGACATGTTATGGTGGAGAAGGATAATTTAAAAAGAAACAAAAACTCAGTAAAATAACAGCTATCATGAATACTTAAAAAAATCATGCACCACACTGAATACTTTCTATGTATTATATCTTCTAATTTTCATAAAACAGTAGGGTCACTTTACAACTGAAGAAAACTGCAGCTTAGCCCGGCGGTATAACTTATTCCAAGTCACACAGCTAAGAAAGCACAGATTTAAGGTTTTGAGAGAGGCCTGCCTGACACCAAAATCTATACCCTTCTAGACCAAGTTGTACTCTACATGCTATTCTGATAGGAGAAGCGCACAGGAACATGGACAGAACAATGACTCTCATGGTCAAGGGAAGGTTCTCAGAGGAGCAAAAGTATAAACTTATCTAACTAAAAAGGAGGTGGTGTGTTCTAGATAAAAGCAACAACATAAGGTGTGCCTGGGTGTCTCAGTCAGTTAAGTGACTGACTCTTGATTTTGGCTCAGAGTTGTGAGATTGAGCCCCACCTCGGCCTCAGTGCTAAGCATGGAGCCTACTTGGGATTCTCTCTCTCCCTCTCCCTCTGCCCCTCCCCATGCTGGCACTCTCTCTCTCTCTTTCTCTTTCTAAAAAAAAATTTAAAAATAAAAATAAACAAATAAAAAACAAAACAAAAAACCCAACAACATAAACAAAGAAATGGAAGGGAGATTATGATGGTTGAGGAAATGAAAGACCTGCAGTTCTGCTGAAGCATGGGAAGGGAAAAGTGTTGTCAAGAGAAAAGCTAGAAGAGAATCCATCCACATTAGTGCAAGGATCAGTAGGGCATTCCTTTTTATTGCTGAATAGTATTTCATCATATGGATCTACCACATTCATTTATCTATTCACCTGTTGATAGCATTTGGATTGTTTCTGGTTTATGAATAAATCCACTATAGGGGCACCTGGTGGCTCAGTGGGTTAAGCATCTGCCTTCAGCTCAGGTCGTGATCCCCAGGTTCTGGGATCGAGCCCCAAGTAGGGCTCCCAGCTTGGCAAGGAGTCTGATTCTCCCTCTCCCTGCCCCTCCCCCTTCCCCGCTCTCTTGCTCTCTTTCTCTGAAATAAATAAAATCTTTAAAAAAACAAATCTACTATGGAACATTTGCATGTTCATTTGTCATTGTATAAACATATCTTTTATTTCTCTTTGGATAAACACCTAGGAATGGAATGACTGGATCACCTGGTAGTGTATGTGTAACTTTGTAAGATATTGCCACATTGTTTTCCAAAGCAGTTGTACCATTTTATATTCTTGCTGTGCTATTTTGTATCTCCTTGCTGTTTTAATTTACATTTCCTGAAAATATTAAATATCTTTTCATGTGGTTGTCATTCATACATCTTCTTCGATGAAGCATTTTTTCAAATCATTTTCCCATTTTTTAAATTAGATTGTTTTCTTATTATTGAGTTTTGAGAGTTCTTTCTATAATTCAAGTCCTTCACAGATATATGATTTGCAACTATTTTCTCCTTGTTTGTGTGACTTTTCATTCTCTTACCAAGGCCTTTTGGAAGAGCAGAAGTTCTTAATCTGATAACATCTAATTTATTAATGTTTTCTTTTGGAATCATGTTTCTGGTATCTTATCTAAAAATTCTTAACCTAATTCTAAGGTCACAAAAATTTTCTCATGGGTTTTATTTTACAAGTTTCATAGGTCTAAGTTTTACATTTAGGTCTGTGATCCATTTCAGATTATTTTTTGAGTCACATGGAAATTCAAAGACCCTAGAAGAGCCAAAACAACCTGGAAAGAAGAACAAAGTCAGGTACTACCTGATGCCAAGGGTTATGATACAACTACAATAGTCAAAGAGTGTGGTATTGGTCGAAAGATAGACAAATACATTGATGGAACAGAACAAAGAGTCCAGAAACAGACTCAATCATATATGGTCAACTGCTTTTCTTATCTTTTTAAGCCATATAATGTTTTTTGGTTTTTTAAATTATTCAAATATAATTGAAATACAATCTGATATTAGTTTCAGGTGTACAACCTATTGATTCAACAGTTCCATACACTACTCAGTGCTTACCATGATAAATGTAGTCACTGTCACCACACAATGTCTTAACAATATTATTGACTCTACTCCCTATGCAGTACTTTTTATCTCCATGACTTACTTGATTTTCAACAAAGGTACATATGTAATTCAGTGGAAAAGGATAATCTTTTCCACAAATCATGTTGGAACAATTGGATATCCACATGTAAAAATAAATAATAAACAGAGATCTAAGCCTTATATGATCTAAATTGGCTATAATTATTTGTTGCTATTTATTTATTTGAGAGAGAGAGTGGGGGGGAGGGGCAGAGGGAGAGGGAGAATCCCAAGCAGACTCTGTGCCAACTGTAGAGTCTGACGTGGAGCTGTCTCATGACCCTGAAATCATGACCCAAGCTGAAATCAAGAGTCAGACACCCAACCAACTGGTGCCCCTAAATTGACTATAATTATTAATAAAAGAGTTAAAAACAGTTCCCAAAAATATGACTAATAAAATCTTGATTAATACAACAGATACATTAGTCCTATCAATAATGTCAGGAATAAAATGACATCTATTTAAGAGTAAAAATACCAGAAGGGGAAAAAGGCTTCACTAAAATAAGAATATCATGTATATGCTACATAGATAAAAACAGTAACACAAAAAAGCAGGTACAAAAATAAAAAGTCTTAAATTAGCTCAAATGACTTTATAACGGAAATGCCATCATTTTAGAAAAGAATATTTTCTTATTCCAGTTGTTTTCAAGCCTATTTTTAGTCGTGGAACCCTTTATTCAAGGGAAATCTTAAGCAGACAAAAAAATAAATAACTCTGGTTGAAGCTAGAGTGAGGAACCAAACACCACATTAGCTTACCATTTCCCATCCCCTTATTTTACTTACACATAACATCTATCACTGGGGTCCCTAGAATACTTTAGGGAGACCTCAGTTTGAACACCAGTTTCTTTGTGTGAATGTGAGAGGATTTCTCTAGGGTGAGTAGAATTGTGGATCATCAGAAGGCACATGTTCAGCTTTATCTGATGTGTATAAATAGTTTCCTGTGGCTGCCATGCCAAAGTGAAACTGGGGGGTTTAAAGTCACAGAAATGTATTGTCTCACGGTTGCAGAAAGCTAGAAATCCACAATCAAGGTGTTGTTTAGGACCATGCTCTCAACATTTCTTGCCCCTTACAGCTTCTGGTAGCCCCAGACATTCCTTGGTTTGTGACAGCCGTTCAACTCTAATCTCTGCCTCCATTTTCACAGGGTATTCTCTCTGTGTCTTCACATGGATGTCCTCTTATAAGGACATCAGTCACATTGGACGAGGTGCCCACCTTCTTCAAGTGTGACATCATTTAACTAATTACCTCAGCAATGATCCTATTTCCAAATAAGGTCACATGCTAATGTACTGGGGATAAAGACTTCAACTATCTCTTTGGGGGGTGGGCACAACTCATGCCGTAACACTACATAATTCCAAATTATTCTTTAAATTGGTTGTATCAATGTTCACTTCCAGTAAAAATGTATTAGAATTCACTTTTTTCCACATGTTAAATATTATCAGACTTTATAATCATGTCTAATTTTATAGCTACAAAATGGTACTTCTCTGTCGCATTCTCCTGACTACTAATCAAATTAAACACATTTTTACATGTATAATGAGCATCCTGTTTCTCCTTTTGTGAATTGCTTGTTCATGTCCTTTTCCTATTTTTCTACTGGGTAGTGTGTCACTTTTTATTACTTTTCATGGGGTCTTTACAGTTTTGGGGTACTAACAGTGGCTATCTAAATGCTGCATTTTACATTTTTAACAATTAAAGCTTACTCTTTAAAGTAATTAACTCTCTTGACCTAAAAAAGGCGGAAATAAAAACTTGGGGATGGAGGAGTAATACACAGTGTTCATCAACTATGGTGGGAGCACAAGCATGGAATTGGTTCACCATTACACAGATGTACAAACAAACATTTCCATGCTGATTGATTATTCTTTTCTTAAAAGATTTTATTTATTTATTTGAGAGTTTGAGATTGAGAAAGAGAGAGACAGAGTGGGCAGCGGAGGAGCAGAGGGAGAGGGAAAAGCAAACTCTGTGCTGAGCACAGAGCCAGATGTGGGGCTCGATCCCACGTCCCTGAGATCATGACCTGGGCTGAAATCAAGAGTTGGACACAATCAACTGAGCCACCCAGGCGCGCAATGATTATTCTTAGTTCCAAGGTAAAATTGCTACTTCTAGACAACTAGGAAAGCTACACGTGATGCCAGGTCCCTTAGCAGAGAACCCAGAGGGATTTTCAATGACTTAGAATAAGATTAAGGGGAGGGCCAAGACAACCTCAATAACTGTTTTCAACAATTTCCTCTATTCCCATATAAAACATTACTGAGAGCTAATAAAACAACACGAGTACCAATATGCTCAGAAATATCATGTATGTTTCAAAGAAAGACTGGAATTATTTAACAAACCATTTGGAGGAAGCCACCAATATTAAATCTGAATTTTGGCCATGGATAAAAGCCAGCTTACCTTTAGAGTTTATTCTATTTGCAAACATTTAGGAACAGGACTAGAAGAGAGAATACAAAGATCTCTGAGTTAAAGGTAGATGTCTTCAATTTATGCTCAGTAGGATTTTGGAGATAATGACTTTTTAAAGTATAATTTATCCATTCATAAAAGAATTGTGTGTGTGTGTTTACACAAAGTAATATGGAAATAATAAAAAAAACTGAGAAAGTATATGCAAAGTCAGACTACTTTAAGTCAAGTAAAGTTCTCTCCAGTTTTTTCTAAACAAATTTTTATTTGTCTATTTTTTTATTTGGTTGACGGGTACAACAGCATAAATTGCAGGTTGTACTACAACAACAAATTAACTCTATCTTAATACAAAAAGACTTACTTCTTTTTAATTCTGAATGTTCAATGCAAGAACACTTTGCTCGACTCCACAACATCTCTCCAGCTGATGGAAACTCACAATCAGAATGTCGTTTCAGAACTCCTTTCCAAGAATAGTAGAAATCGAAAATCACACAGAGGCTTTTCAGCTCACATTTCAGGAATAAGGACTAGTCAATGGCCCCACTTAATGGCACGGGATCTGGGAAGGGTAGTCTCCCTGATGCCTGGGAAGGAGAGAGAACTGGATATTGGTAAGCATTAGAATGTCTCAGAACTAAGATACTTTATTTTCTTTATTTTGCAGTGGTGGTATTTTTTCTTGTGTAGTACAGTTTCTGAGGAAGTTGGTCTTGCATTGTTTCATCTTATGCAATCCAAACTTGTCTCAGAATCATTGGGAATTTCCATGGGTAATGTTATGTTGGCACTTTTTAATCTAAGCATATTACTTACTAAATTCCTTTCTGTAAAGGATCAGCTTAAGGATATAGATGACAGATATGAGCAGAAACCAGCCCTGGAAGATAGCAGGCAGTAAGTGCTCTACGGCTGTAACCTCTGTGAGCTTGCCTCTTAGAGAATCTCCAGTCTCCACATTCCAACAAAACAGGAACATCTCAGCCTAGAGATTAGAAAATAATGTATTTTAATTTATTATGAATTTGAACACCATCCCTTCTCCACTAGTGTGGTCATTTGCATTTGATTTTACTTTTCAATGAATATTTAACCTTCTCTCCTTTCCTGTAAAGAAGAAGCCATTGATGAGCCACAGGAAAAACTGAGATCATCCAAAAGATGCTTTGGGTGGGAAAAGTCACTTTCAGGTTTAATAATGTCAAATGTGCATTTTCACACCTTTGTGGAAAAAAAGAGGATAAGGCTAAAATAAAATTGTAAGAAAAGATCTGACTTTTGATCTGGTCTGTAAATTTGGAAAATATTTGCTCTGCCTTATAGCATTGCAGAGGTTTGACAGAAATGCCTTTATCACTGGACATGTTGACCATTGTTCACAGGCCTGCAGTTTTCTAAGGGATAGTTCACTCTAATTTCAATCTCTGTTTTTCATACAATAGTTTTAATTTGAGGAGGGGGGAAGATATAATGTATTAGTCATGTGCTAATGGGCTTTGTCACCTGAAATTTTAAAATATTCTTAGTTCAAACTAATGTTCTAATGTCATCTCTGCCACAGCATCTTAGAACACCCTAGAAGAAATTATATGTTCATTCTCCTGTCAATTCTTGCCATTTGTTAACTAACCCCTTTATTAAGGAATTTTTTTTTTAGTCGATTAGGTACTTGATTTCCTCATCTCACTGATTTTGAACTACCCAGAAACAGAAAGTACATCTTATTTCATGCTAAGAAAAACCCTGTGTATTTGCCACGACTACTGTAATAAATTACCACAAACCTGGTGATCTAAGCCATCAGAAACCTACTCCCTCGAAGTCCTAGAGGCCAGACATCTGAAAGAGTTTCAGAGACAAAAATCAAACTGTCAGCAGGGCCACACCTCCAGCGGAGGCTCTAGGAGAGAATTTGTTCCTTGATGCTCCCTGCTTCTGTGGTTGTCAGCGTTCCTGACTTACAGCCACATCACTCCAATCTTGGCCTCCATGGGCACATCGCTTCATTCCCTTCTCTGTATGTCTAATTTCCCCCTGCAACTCTCTTCGAAGTATGTTTATGTTGGCATTTAGGACCCATTTAGATAATCCATAATGATCTCTCCATCTCAAGATTCTCATCAAATCTGTAGAGATGCTTTTTCCAAATAAGGTAGCATTTACGTGTTCCAGGAATTTGGTTATGGACATATCTTTGGGAGCTTCATTAGCTTACCACATATCCAACGCTTGCCCAGCTTGGAACACCATCATTAGAACAAAATACACACTCAGGAACATCTTGAGAGCAGTATCTGTTTGTTTCTCTATCCCTCTGGTTGCAAGTTCTCTTATTTCTACTTCTCCTGGGATATTTTCTCTTCTGTGGACTGACTTCTTGGCTTATCATCAAAACCAATCCAAAATGGCAGCCTTCATAATAGGGACTCATAATGTTCCACCTTGGTTCTCCACAGATTACCAATCTGTTCATTCTCTCAATGGCCTTACTCCAAAATTTATGAGAGAGACTATCTAACCTGTTCTTTGTGTCTGGTATTCACTCCTTGTGCAGGCAGCTTAGCCCAGTAGGAAGAGTTCAGATTTATGGGTTTTGCAGATTCTCTCTTAAGGAAGTGGGGCTGGGAAGAGATATAACTAGTACCTCTAATATGGTGGAGACATATAAGAGACACTTCTCTAATCTTCAGTATGTAATACTAACATCAGTCTACAGGTTTGCTAATCAAAGTTTTAGAACCACGATTAGAGGAAATTTATTGAATCACATTCCTTTCCTTTGTTTCTACATAGTACTTCCAGAAATGTGGGAATTTTTTTTTTTTTCTGGACACACTTTGCTGGGCACCACAGGAATTAAACCTTGGAGATCCTCTGGGTTTAGGTCAAGACATATGATTTTTAACTCCAGTTAAATCTCTATTTCCACATATGACAACTTTTGACAAAATGTATTCCTTCTCATTATAATCTCCTAGCTTCAGTAGGGGAACATTGTACTTAACATATCATTCTCCACTCACTTGAACAACTGCAATGTAAAAATATACTTTGAGTGAGTAATTGAGAAGTTATATAAATTTCAAAATGATGCATTTTCTTGTCACACCAAAGTAAATCATATGATGCACTTTGAAATCCAATCATAGAAACAGAAACAAGAAAAAAAAAAAAACAGAAATTCTATTTGGTTGCTGCCAACAGGCTGGAAATCCCCTTGAAGAAATATTTTAAAATTAAGATAGCAGCTGGAAGCGTTTAGATTCCAAAATACTTCAGCATTCCTGATAGACTGTCATTGAAGGAAGATTTTTAATCATGAATTTTAAAAAGAAACAAAGAGTGGGCTTATCAGCTAAGCGGTTTTTGGAAAAATTGCTTTCTTATGCCTAAGCAAAGCAGAGATTATTAGATACTAGACTCCAGACTAGCCTTTTTCTTCTGAATATTCAAGAAAATATCTCCGAATCGTGCCTCTTCTCCCCCCACCCCCCAGCCCCATCACTCCTTTCAGAGGGCTGTAGGCGGGACATGGAAGGGTGTTAATCTCACAGATATTGAACCAGAAAAATGTTTAACGGAATTTCCTCTTAATATTTAACACATGCTTTTGTCTGCTATTTTATGGCTTGAGCTTTTAAAAACTTTGTTTTCCCAAGAGACTCATAAGGCTCTTCCTAAAATGCTTCTATCCTTTTTGTTTAATTCCTGTCAAATTTTCCCAGGACATTCTTTTGCTCCCTGAAAGTAAAGACATTAATTTAAAGGAAGCTGGTTAGCTTCCTCCGTTTGAGAGTGGTCCTGGGCACTCAGCGCAGAGTATCTACCATCTAGTTTAGATGTTGGCCAGGCTGAGGTCTGCTTTACTTTAATGTCTGCTTGCCTACCTCTCAAGTGAGCATAAAATATATGTCACATGAAGCTTAATTATTTTTAATTAAGCACATTCATATCCTCACAGGAAAGATAGTACTTAAGATCAAACTACGGCATTTATATGTTAGTTATAAATATACTTTATGAGGAAAGCACCATAAATTCTTTGAGGAGAGAAATTTTTCCTGACAAGATTTTCACCTTTCTCTCTGATTTAGAAATTTCACCATCAAAGACTGAATAAGAACAAGACAACGAAAGATCATAGTTTAAGAATTCTAAGGAAAAGAAAATCTGGAATAGGCAACAGATATCCTTTTTTTCTGTTCTGAAAAGTCCAAGTTCCTAAATTTCTTCCTTGTCAGAGCTGGGTATTATTGCTGTGTGGAGATCTTATGTTTAATGAATAATAATTCGTGGCATTTAAAATGTGCCTTTGGGCAAGTGTCATTAGGGCCGCCTCACTTAGTTCACATCAGGCTGGCATATTCTAATAGTCCACACTACACCCACACAGCTCTCTGTCCCACGAGAACATTCCCTCTCCTTAGGAGTCCCCCGTTTTTCTGACTAGCCAGTCACCCAATGGTTCTTAAGTTGCCAGTTTCTGCCCTGTAGTATTAGTGAAAAACTAAAAGGAGTTTATAAAAATTCCAAGTCAAATATGTGTGAGTCTTCTCCCTATAAAATGCAAATGTTCCTATCAAATTATTGAAACAGATTTTCTTTTAATTTCTGACAGTGGTTTATACCAGAAACTTGGAAGTTCGATGAACCAAGAGCACAGAGGCAGGAAGATTTTAGAGTGTCCTCGAGGAACTCCTTGCCACTTGACAAGATAAAATCATCTGGAAAAGAAATTCCATATTATCTAAATTTTGTATTAGAGAAGAGATAGATGAACTTCTCTGTCAGTCTTCATTGACTAGATACTGCCTATCACTCAACAGAAGGTGGGAAAGACCACAGCATTGAGTTGTACTTGTCCTCCTCCACTCTGTCCTTAAAATCTCTAAATGTTTGAGAATAAGTTTTTGCAGAAAGTAATGAAAACACGGCACAAGAATCTGTCCAATTTACAATTGTTCCAGCACTAAATGAAAGTCCCTATTTCTTGTCACCATTGAAAATTCTGTTTTAGCCTTAACAATGACAACAAAAACCACAAAAGAGCCTTTGTCAGTTTGGTAGGTAAAAGCTGGCGTAACACTTGAAAATTTGCATTTCTAACTTTACCAACTCATGTTTTTTGCCCTCAGAAGGGAGGAAAGTATTCTTTTTCTTACACACCCATGTCAGCTCTTTATGTTGAACATGTCTTTCTAATACTGGTCTTTATTTATAGTTTCTTAAAATGAACTGTTTTTTGTTTTTTGTTTTTTTAAGACAGGTTTGTTTGGGGGTTTCTTAGAGTAGTTACAGGTTCGCAGCAAAATTGAGAGGATTTAAGGTACAGAGATATACCATATACTCCCTGCCCCCAGACATCCATAGCTTCTCCCATTATCAACATCCCTAACCAGAGTGGTACATTTGTTGCAACTGACACATCGTAATCAGCCGAAGTCCATAGTTTACCTTATGGTCCAGTCTTGTGTTATACATTCTATGCGTCCAGACAAACGTATGACATGTCTTCATCATTATAGCATCCTACATATTTTTAGAGCCCTAAAAATCCTACTATTCATGCTTCCCTGTCCCCTGGCAACTGCTGATCTTTGTACCGTCTCTCTATATGATATAATTGAATATGTAGTCGAATATAATTGAAATCATACAGTCTAGAGCCTTTTCAGATTGGATTCTTTCACTTTGGAATAGGCATTTCAGTGTCCTCCGTGTCCTTTTCTGACACGACATAATAGCTCATTTCCTTTTAGCACTGGATAATATTTCATTGTCTACATGTACCACAGTTTATTTATCCATTCATCTACTGAAGTCTTAGCTGCTTCCATGTTTCGGCAATTAGAATAAAGTTGCTATAAACATCCATGTGCAGGTTTTTGTACGGACATAAGTTTTCAACTCTTTGGGTAAATACCAAGGAATGAAATCACTGTATCATATGGTAAGAGTATGTTTAGTTTTGTAAGAGGCCACCAAAGTATCTTCCAAAGTGGGTATTCCATTGCATTCCCACCAAGAATGAACAAAAGTTCTGTTGCTGCGTGTCCTCCCCAGCATTTCATGTTGTTAGTGTTCCAGATTTTGGCTGTTCTAATAGGTGTTTAGTGGTATCTTGTGGTTGCTTTCATTCGTATTTCCCTGATACAGATGGTGCATCTTCTCATATGCTTATCTGCCATCTGTAAATCTTCTTTGGTGAGGTGTCTGTTAAGGTCTTTAGCCCTTTTTAAATTGGGTTGTTTGTGTTCTTATTGTTGAGTTTTAAAACTTCTTTGTCTATTTTGGATAACAGTCCTTTATCAGATGTGCCTTTTACAAATATCTTCTCCCAGTCTGTCGCTTATCTTCTCATTCTTTTAACATAGACTTTCACAGGTCAGAAGTTTTTAATCTTAATGAAGTCCAGCTTATCAATTATTTCTTTCATGTATTATATTTTTGGTGCTGTATCTAAAAAGTTATCATCACACCCAAGGTCATTTAAGTTTTCTATTGTATTATCTTCTACAAGTTTTACAGTTTTGGGTTTTACATTTACACTCATAAGTCCATGAACAATTCTGATTTAATTTTTGTGAAGAGTGTAACATCTGTATCTAGATTCATTTTTCTCATGTGATTGTCTAGCTGTTTCTAAAAGGATCGTTTGTTGAAAAGATTATCTTTTCTCCATTATATTCCTTTTGTTCCTTCATCAAAGATACCAATACCATGCTGTCTTGATTACTGTAGCTTTTCTAACTTACTTATCTTGAAATCAGGTAGTGTCAGTCCTCCAACTGTGTTCTTCTCCTTCAATATGGTGTTGGCTATTCTGGGTCTTTTACCTCTCTATATAAACTTTAAGATTAGTTTGTCAGTATCTATAAAATAACTTGTTAGGATTTTGATTTGGATTGCATTTAATCTATAGATCAAATTTGGAAGAACTGACATCTTGACGATATTGAGTCTTCCTCTCCATGAGAACAGAATATCTCTTCATTTATTTTGTTCTCTAATCTTTCATCAGAGTTTTATACTTTTCCTCATATAGATGCCTAAATATTTTGTTCAGTTTATAACCTAAGTAGTTCATTTTGAGGGGACACTAATGTAAATTTATTGGGCTGGTACTGTGTTTTTAATTTCAAAATCCACTTGTTCATTGCTAGTACACAGGAAAGTGATTCGCTTTTGCACATTACCCTTGTATCTTGCAACCTTGTTATAATTGCTCATTAGTTCAAGAGGTTATTTTGTCAGTTCTTTTGGATTTTTATTTATTTATTTATTTATTTATTTATTTATTTATTTATTTAGAGAGGGAGGCGGGGAGTGGCAGAGGAAGAAGAAGAGAGAGAATCTTAAGCAGGCTCCACGCCCAGCAGGGAGCCTGACACGGGGCTTGATCTTACAACCCTGAGATGGGTACTTAACAGACTGAGCCACCAGGCGCCCCTCTTCCAGATTTTTTACATTGATGACCATGTCATCTGAGAATGAAGACAATTTTACATCTTTCTCAAACTGTACACCTTTCTTTTTCTTTCCTTTTCTTGTCTTGTCTTATTGCATTAGTTAAGACTAAACTGGTTTTTAATGTAATCAAATAGCTTAATCTTCTTCCTTACCTACATACAAGACAAAGGAAGGGGGAAATGTGAGACTGAAAGAGGCTCAAGTTTGACAGAATATGGCAAAAATAACATCTTTTTAAAAAATATTATATGTGTTCTATCATATATATGTGTGTTTGATTATGTTTGTAGCTGACATCAGTTCTTTGAAGCAAAGAAATCATTTCAGGTCAAGATTCTGACCTTTGAGAGATCTCTCTGAGTTGATCAGCAGTTTTCTCAATTGTGCAGGTGGATGGCAGCCTTAATCAGTCCACTGCAAAAGGATAAGACCTAAAGATAAATGACTCACACCATGCAAATTCCAGAGACCTCCAAACGAATGTCTTCATTTAAAGCAGGAAAGAGGCTAATAAGCAATCATTTAGTCATCAGCTGTATAGTCTGCTCCTTAGTAGGAGAAGTCAGAATTTCCTTGAACTTCATAGAACTAAATTAAAAGGAGTTAGTAATGGCCTAGCCTTATATCTGCCCAGAAATGTATTGAGTGAGATACAGACTTTAATAGGATCTGAATTGATTATTGTCATTTCATTCTTAAAAGTCTGAGTAAACTAATATTATCCTTTCTCTTATCATCATTTCTATGACTTGTAGCATAGTTTTTTCAGTAAATAATTACAATACTTGTCGAGCTGCTTTTTTGTCTTTTTCAAAGGCATCCAAACAAATATAAGATGTGGATTCTTCTTGAACTAAGTGAAATTACTTGTTACTTTTGTAGTTTATTTGGGGGGTTTCCCTCACGTCAAGTGCCATATGAAGCAGAATTTACCCCTGGAGGACAGTTTTATTAGGCTGGTGAATAGGATATGCAGGTGTGTAGAAATGCAAAACTAATTGAAAGATAAATGAGCCTCTGCTCTGCCCTGGAGCCAGAGAACAGCAGGTAACACATCTTTGCTTTTTCTTTATTCCTTTTTTTTTTTTTTTAACATTTCTTTTGCCAACAAGAAATCTCTTTATTTTCTGTACATTTGTAGGTTGGAATTTTAAAATTTTTCTCTCATTCATTTCCAAGCCCTCTTAAAATGTGTCAGTTTATTTTTTTTTATTTTTATTTTTTTAAAGATTTTATTTATTTATTTGAGAGAGAGAGAATGAGAGACAGAGAGCATGAGAGGGAGGAGGGTCAGAGGGAGAAGCAGACCCCCTGCTGAGCAGGGAGCCTGATATGGGACTCGATCCCGGGACTCCAGGATCATGACCTGAGCCGAAGGCAGTCGCTTAACCAACTGAGCCACCCAGGCGCCCGTGTCAGTTTATTTTTAACCTGTTAAAAAGATTAGTCTGTATTTGCAGCTTTATATAAATTAGAAACTGGTTGCCAACACAGATAAAGGGAGTACATAAACACCATTTTCTACACCGCCAGCCAACAGCCCACAAATGCATTCTCAGAACTGACCATAACCAGGTGATGAATGAAGGTTAAAATTTTTGGTTTTCAGTATAGCCTTCCAATTAATTATTTGAGTACCTATCATGGCAAGTATTCTTTTCAGCAATTCCAGAAAAGAAACAAAATCTCTGCTCTCAACATGGTTATTAACTCTTTGAGAAGATGAGACATCCAGAAGTGAAAAGGTGAACAATATGAGAGTTAAATAGTCTATTTTAAAGTAGTAGAATAGATGTCTCTAACCATTACACATTAATAATGATATAGACAATAAAGGCTAGAGAATTCAGATAAATTCGGGGGCTGGGGGTCTGTAAGCAAACTTGGTCCGAGAATGTTTCATGGCTGGTCAGATTTGAAGGATGGGTAGGATTCAGAAAGAAAAGAAGATGAGGGTAAATGTAGGGATGGGTGAAGAGATTAAATGGTATAAACAGAAATGTTGCAAATATTAGAAGAGTGTATTAGAAGAGTGACTTTTTCTGGGCGCCTGGGTGGCTCAGATGGTTAAGCGTCTGCCTTCGGCTCAGGTCATGATCCCAGCGTCCTGGGATCGAGCCCCGCATCGGGCTCCCTGCTCCTTGGGAGCCTGCTTCTCCCTCTGCCTCTCTCTCTCTCTCTGTCTCTCATGAATAAATAAATAAAATCTTTAAAAAAAAAAAAAAGAAGAGTGACTTTATCAGTTTAAACAGATAGGGTCTCTATCCAGTATCTAATAGAACATTTGAACATTTCTTCTTTTGTGTTCTTAGGGACTTTTAATAACATTATAATGGAGCATATCATATTGCTTAATTCGGCTTTATAGTTTTGTTCTTCAACTCAACCGAGACTTCTCAGAAGCTGGGACTATATTCTTGCTCTCTCTTACCATTAGCATCTAGTACATAATCTAAGTCATTGATTAAGCTTTAGTTAGATAAATGAAAGAAGGTGAAATAAATACTGAAAATTAAAATTAATTACTGGAGTCTACATTCTCAGTAAGGAAGGCATGAGATATCTGAAGAGTGTCAGATTCCAAATGAGATTCTCTTCGGCTTTCCACTAAAAATGAGACCAATTAAAAAATACATTTGAAAATGTTGAGTTAAAGTTTAATGTGTTTATTTTTATGTATTTATTCATCCAACAAACATTTATTGAGTACCTCCTATGTGCTGGGCACAGTTCTAGATAAAGTAAAATAAAGATAAAGTAGTTAACAAAATAGATATTAAAATCCCTGCCCTTGTGGAACTTACATTCTAGTCGAGGGAAACAAACAAACAAACATTTGAAGCAGAACCTCTAATATATATGGTTCGCAAAAATGGTCCAAATTGTTCACCTCTTCGTGTATCCACACCCTTTGCCGTGTAACATTGTAGAGACCACTCACTCTGATGCTGTGCGTGGCCATGTGACCTGTTCTGGCTAATAGGACATTAGCAAATTGATTCAAACTCACCGAAAGCTTGCTGACTCTCCTCTGTGGCTGCCAGGAGACAGAGCCTCCCTCTGCCAGCTTGCTGAAGATTGAGAGACACGTGCAGCAGAGTCAAGACACCGCAGTCGACTCCTTGGGGCCGTCCTAGGTAAGCCAGTATCCAGGAGAGCTACAGACACATGAACAAGCTTAGTCCATATCAGTACAGTTACAAGAATGACCCACAGTTAGCCAGAGAGTAAATTCAGGACGTGCCAGATAAGCACCACACATCTGACACTAGATAAATGTTTATAGTTGCATACCATGAGGATTTGAGTTTGTTGGTTAATGCAGCATAATTGTGGTTATGGCGATGAGTGTGATCGAGAAATATAAAGCTGGAAAGGTCAATAGGGAGTGCCAGGAAGGGATAGTTTGTAAGTTTAAAATAAGGTAATCAAGGAAGGCCTCACTAAAAGGATGATATTTCAGAAAAGACTTCAAGGAGGCAAGACGGACCCTTGCAGGTATCCAGGAGGGAAGAGGCAGACTTTCAGGCTGAAGAAACAAAGTATGTAAAGAGAATGCTGGTGGTGTGTCTGAGGAATCACAAGAAGGCCAGTATGGTCAGAGACAGGAGAGTGATGTGAGAAATGTGGGAGATGTGGGAAATGACATCAGGAAAGCAAAGGGAGCAGGAGAGATCCAATTTTGTAGAGCTCTAAAAATTCTCAAAGCCTTCACATGCTAATAAGCCTTGTGACTGTCCAAAAAGGAGATTTAGAATTCCACAATGCCTGAAATATATTTGATAATCCAACACCTTTTTTTTATTTTTTTCAGAGTACCTCAAAGCATTAAGGCTCTGCAGAACCCACCTGTGGGTGGATTTAATCTTCAGGTCCCAGGAGAGGCTGAGATATAGAATGGTCTCTGAGACGGGCTGAAACTAGCACCCTGACAACATTCCAGAAAGCCCAAGCACTCAGGTGGAGTCTGCTCCAAATCACGCCTTTCCCAGCTATGAAATTTGACATAGAGCAGACACATTGGTTTTTTTTCATACGAAAAGTTTCACATGTGGCATATTACGTGATTACATAAATGTTCCAAATGAAATAAAACTCTACCAAGAAAAAAAAAGTCAGTGTGTTAAAATACAAAGAAGTTATAAATCACTAAGCCTTCCAAGCTTTCCATTAATAAAAAACAAGGGTAGGTTCTCCAGATGTTCCTAATCCACATCATTTGGATGGAGAGCCAATACTTGAACTTGTCTCAGCAAAGTACATCTCATTTCTAAATAAAAGGAAGAAATGGAATTGCTGTGATGATTTTAAAGATGGATTAACATTTAAGTGACTTACACAAAAATGCACATGGCTATTGAATTGTTACAGGAAGTATCAACTCAATCCAAGATCCCTGGTACCAGGGAGACTTTGCTGTTGAATTAAACCACGTAAACATGAGACAAGGATTTTCAATCACATTGTAGTATTTGATACTAAACTTCCCTCTTCCCTTAATTGCTTCATTATATCTTTTCACCCCACTCCTTCCAGTTACAGCTACTTCCTCAGAGAGTAAGAAAGAATTTTAAAGGTAAGAATGTATAGCATCTCCACCCAAACAGAATCTACTATGTGTATCATATTTAATCAAGTTGTAGATATTTATTGCTTCCTGAGAAGCCCAGTCTGCCAGATCCTCAAAAATACTCAAAGTATGGCAACAATCCTGGCCACAAGGCAAATACAGTATGGTTGGCGGGGTGGGGGGGTGGGGGGGAAGATAAGGTAGCATTTCTATGTAAAAACTATTAACTGTTCAAAATAAACTGCGTTGCTCAGATACTAACATTATAGAAGTTCAGTAGAGTAAGACCAATTACTTTGGGGGATGAGTCAGGGCACCAGAGAAAATTTCAGAGATGAGGAAACTTTTATTTCAGCCTTATCACGTACACCTAAATTCATTTATGTAGGTTGAGAGACAAGCAAGGCTCTGGGTGGGGACATATATTCTTTAAAAAAAAAAAAAAAAGCCAAACTGTATTAAATATATCAGCCACCTGTCTGGGTGGAGAAAGGAACAAACAAGATAGGGAGACCAGTTTTCCTGGATCTAACATCCTAGAGGAAAAACAAACAAAGAGAAACAAATAAACAATAAGCATCCCACTCAACTGCGGTTTAAGTGTTGTGAAGAAAATAAAACAAGATGATGGTAGAGGGGAGGGATGCAACTTTAACCAAGATAGTCAGAGAAGACCTTCTGAGGTGGCATTTGACCTGTGACAAGGACTGGAGCAGAGAATGTATAGGGCAGGATTTCCCCAGTTCGAGGCTGTAGAATTCTGGTGTCCTGGGAAATATCTAAGAGTGATTGAGAAGGGGGAAGAAAAGACAAACCCTTTTCCATCACGATTCTTCATGGAGATTCATAATGCACACAAGCATATTAAAGATGCTTGAAAGTCTTACCCTAAAGAGAACCTATTTCAGTCTTTCCATAGCATGCCTGAACGTAAAGGTCATGTTTTTGTTGTGGTATGTATCTGGGGAGGTGGAAGGTGGAGGAATAGAGGGGCAGATTGTAATATAAT